CAAATGCGAAGCTTTGAAAATGTTAACTATAACTTCAAAGAGTTATAGACCATATCTGACCCTAGGAAATAAATATTAACCCAATCCGTATCAACGGATATCACAAAAATGTCTAGCCAATAAGACAAAAAAATTGGGCAAGAAGGGCTAATGATTTTTTAATAAAAACACGCCAGAAATTGGTTTAGTTGCGCTGTACCAGAGAAATAGTTATGTAATATGAGGTAGTCTAGAGGTGACGAAAACTTATTTATCGGAGATGCTTTATTGGATCATGAACTTAAGGGATTGCATTTAAATTCCCTCAGGCATAAAAAATGTAGATTTAAAAAGGAGAATTAATATATAATGAGCAGGTTTAAGACAACTCATGTACTCGTGAAAAAATCCACCTGCCAGCCTTACATCACCTAAGATAAATAAAGTTTTTATAAAAGGAAATAAAATGATATATGCCCCCTGTGAACATGCCATTCGGCGTTTGAATTAAATCGGCCGCACCACCACTACCATGTTGGTACATTCTTTAGCACCGCAATTGAGCTATGTCAAATATCCATCAAATCGGCACTAGATGCTACATTTCGGATACAATTATCCATATCTCTTCACTCAGACCTATAGAACTATGACCAACAACATTAAGAATTAACAACACCAATAAAGATAGTGTAAGAGTACAACTCAATTAAACATAAGCATATACAAGTATTATATCAAAATTAGTATCCTACAGTCAGATACCCAGGAAAAATCCGTTTCGATTTTCATTCAGACTATGTTGAAGCTATCATGACCCAAAATCTGGTCAATCCCTCAGCGCCAGTTGAGGGGAGTGTCTAGCTAAATTAGATTTATTCAAGCAGAAATCTTTGCGCGTTAGCTCCAAGTCAAATCTCTGTGATGCAGCTCCGCGACCTAACAATCCATTGGGCCTTCAATGTAACCAACCACCAGGGTAAAAAATATAATTAGCTCTCCGAAGACCAATAAATCAAGATTTATTTAACATTGCACAAAGCAAGCCAGTAACTGCATACTTCCACAACAACTTGCAAGCTAGATCCTCACTTTTTCCTTCATTCACGTCCCAACAAGCATTTGACATTTAAAATATGCTATATGATAGACACCCCCTAGTCTTATCTTGCCTTGCCTTTCGTCTTCTTTCTTGATTGAGCCCGACAATGAAGCTTTCGCCTTTTGTATAAATGTGATACTCTAGAATCCGTTATTAATTACGTTGCCTCACTAAACCCTGTTTTAAATAAGACCCAAAAGAATCAGATCATAAAAAGCCAGGTTCTGGAATTTAGCTATTCTGCTACGAGGGGAAAACATATACATGATTCCGTGTTTGAGCCAGCATGCGTGGATTCAATCACAGAGGAAAACTGGTGAGTATAAAACTAAATTTGGTTTTAGAATAAAAATTAACATGTCAAGAGAACATAAAAATAGCAGAAAGTATAAGACCAAGATGGTGTGGCCTTTTTTGTGGTCGCAGTCTCCTTCCGTAGTATAAAAATTGTTTGACCTTGTTTTCGCAACTTGGTCATATTGGTAGGAAGACTAATAGGAAAGCACCTT